ATATATTTGGGAGCTATAATCACATCTGAGCGTATTTGAATATAATTTGTCAAATTTATTTTTGTACCAAATTTAGCCACTCATGCCGAATTTCGTTGGAATCGGAAATACGTATCGTGTTTTGTGCATCAAATATGTGAAATCGGCGGAAAATATATATGGGAGCTATATCCAAATCTGAACCGATTTTAATATAATTTGACTAATTTATTTTCTAATCAAAATCCCGTTACATATTCCAAATTTCTTTGGAATCGAACATACATATCGTGTATGATACATAAAATACATGAAATCGGTCGAAAATATATATGAGAGCTATATCCAAATCTGAACCGATTTTAATATAATTTGACAAATGTATATTTGTTTTAATTTCCGCTACACATTCCAAATTTCATTGAAATTAGAGATACATAGCGTGCTTGGTGCATCAAATACATGAAATCGGTCAAAAATATATATGGGAGCTATATCCAAATCTGAACCGATTTCAATTTAATTTGACAAATTCATTTTGGCTCCCAATTCCGTTACTTATTTTAAATTTCATTACAATTGGAAATACATGTCGTGTTTGGTCCACCAAATATATGAAATTGGCCGAAAATGTATATGGGAGCTATATCCAAATCTGAACCGATTTCAATATAATTCGACAAATTTATTTTCGGATTAAGTCCCGTCACACATTCCAAATTTCATTGGAATAGAACATTCATATTGTGTTTGAGGCATCAAATGAACGAAATCGGTCGAAAATATATATGGGAGCTATATCCAAATCTGAACCGATTACAATATAATTTGGCAAACTTATATTTGTTCCAAATTCCGTTACGTATTCCAAATTTGGAGCCTGTATCTTCAACCAATCAATAGATATGAGCATATAAAATCTAAATTTTTGGGAGGTACCTCCGATTCTGATGCTATATCTCCAGTTTCAAGTGGAAATTCAAAAATGTATATAGCCTATGTTACTTTCAGGCGATGTTGCAGTATATATGGAAATTTTCAGGAAAATCTATTCAGCGGTTTTCAAGTCCATAAATTACAAACAAACAAACATACAAACATTTTCCTCTTTTATAGATATAGATAATAAGTTGATTTAATCTTAAACCTATTAAAATTAAAAATGTTTTGTTATGTTTGTTTCTATAAATCTAAAAGTTTCATTTGATTTGCAAAAAGTTTCATTTCGGTTACAAAAGGTTTCAATTCGGTTGCAGAAGGTTTCATTTCCGCTGCAAAAGGTTTCATTTCCACTGCGAAAGGGTTCATTTCCCCGGCAAAAGGTTTCATTTTCGCTGCAAAAGGTTTCATTTCAATTGCAAAAGGTTTCATTTAATCTGAAAATGCTATATATGGGAGCTATATCCAAATTTAAACCGATCTTTATACAATTTGGCAAAGATATTTCTGAGCTATATTTCATATATTTCCCTGAATATCGTTGTTATGGAGTGCATATTGCGGCTGTGGGTGACAAATATAACAAATCGGATGAACAATATATATGGGAGCTATAGCTATATTTGAACATATCTTCACCAAATTTGACATACTAGCTTCTAGACCATTTGGGCAAATATTAGACGTTTGATGAACAATAAAAGGTAAATCAGGAGATATATTCAAATTCGAACCGATCTCGATAAAATTTAGCAAAATTTAGAGGACTAAAATAACAAAACCGGATGAACAATATATATTGGAGCTATAGCTGTATCTGAACAGATTTCGATCAAATTTGGCATACTTATTTTCAGGCCTAATTTGTGTTGAAGGGGGAAAAACTGAACTTTTTTAGAAAACGTCGAAAAAGTCTAGTTCATTTTTTTTTATTGTTGCCTTTTAGTTCGAAGATCATGTATTTCATTTCTTTTGGTTATTGCTCTTTCGAATAGATGTTTTATTTTTTCTTTTTGCCAAATAAAATTTTTCAATATTTCAATATATTTCAACTGCAACTCAGTTTCCAAATAAAAGATAATTTTTTTATACTCTACACCATAAGGTGGTCAGGGTATTATGTCTTTCTGCATTTGTTTGTAACAGGCATAGTTCCTTTTGATTATCTGCATAGAATCACATTCTGAGTCGATTTATGCATGTCCGTCCGTCCATCCGTCTTCTCCATGTATTTTTTGAACATAGTACAGTTCGCATTTATTACCCGATCCAGATGAAATTTTGCACAAATCATTTGTTTGGCCCAAGGACGAAACCTTTTGAAATTGGAGATAATCGGTAAAAATTTAGATATAGCTCCCATATATATCTTCGTCCGATTTGTCTTTTATTGTGCACCAAACGTGTAATGTCAGTCCGAATAGTATGGCTCTTTCCGAAACCTAGGTATTCCATCGTTCTATTTCGAGGAATTACAAACGGAATGACAAAGTTAATATACCCTCCATAGAATGGTCGATGGTATAAAAATGCTAGAAATATTTTTGTGGAAGATTTTAACCGTCAACCGGGTCATTAAACGGATCTATTTGGTTCTTTTTTTAAATATGTTTAAAACTTCATTTAAATGCTCTCGTATCAAGTCAAAGTATTCTACAAAATTTTTGTCATAAAAATCCTGGAAGATCGAAGTGTCTAAACCTTACCTAGACGCAATGAATTTTACATATTAAGACCAGAATTGAAAGATAAAAGTCGGGCGGCCTTGACTTTATGATACCAAACACCACAATGAATATTTATTAGAGTCACGGGTGTCAAATAAAAATTCATATTGGCAATTAATGTTATTAATTGCGTATTAAGGATTAATATCGGTTTAATTTTGAAATAGGTTAAATCAATCCAATAAAAGTTATATCTTAATCGATGTCCACTAAACTTGGCTGAGGTAAATGTATGTTGAAAAACAACTATTTTGATGAAACAACTTAATTGGACAAAAGTAGCGCACTTAATGTATTATTAACATAAAATTGGAGAGAACTATATCGGGGAGATATATTAAAATATGAACCGACCTCGACAAAGCTTGGAAAAGGCATTTGTAGGATGTACCCAATATTTTATAAAAGAAATCCTTGAATATAAAATCGAATGAAACATATATATGAGAGCTACATATGAACTGAAATTTAACACAAATGATTCTAGGCTAAATTTGGTAGTCTCTAGGGAAATTCCCCTTATTTGAGCTAATAATACACATTTGAGGGATTTGATTCGAATAAAGATATATATGGGATTCCAAATCTGAACTTGATAACATTTGGCAGAGGCATTTCTGAACTGTATCTGATACCAAATTTCACTGTTATGATGTATATATATTACGAAAGCTGGGGACTTTAAAATCCAAATCCGATGAAACATATATATGGAGCTCTGGCTATATCTCAACCGATTTTCACCAAATTTAACATAATTATATGTTAAATTCGGTCGGATGTGCAAAAATGTTTCAAATAATATGGTGCACAATTAAGCTGAAATCGGGAGAATAAATATGGAAGCTATACCGATTATATCATTCGGTTCTGCCGATAGACTAATACCCTTAGCCATTCCAAATGTCCGGAAACGGATTTGGTCCAAAGAAAACTAGGGTATAAAACCGTTATTTCGAATAGCCATGTTTTGACCGGTCTATGATATATACCCTCTCTAGCCATATGGTTGAGGGTAGAACACATGGAAAGACATAAATCGATTTCGAATGGGATTTTATGATGATCATTAAAAGGAACTGTAGGTCTTTCTTGTTTCCTTTGCGTGTTACAAACAAATGCACAACCACATAATTACCTGTACCACACTATTGTGTCGGGTAAAAACACATTTTGGGATTAAAGCCGTACTTTAACACTAAAATGCGTATTTAATAAATATGAATTCCTGTCTTTTAGGTATAATTTAGACCCTAGAAGTCCTCCAGTCCTACAATAGAATTTTATGACAAATAATAAACATGAGGATAAACATTTTATTTGCAATATGACGGAATACACTATACACCTATAATGCACTAATTCCGAGAAATTCGAAAATTTGCAAAAGTGTATAAGAGGGGGGAACTTGAACCTCTATTTGGGTAATTTTTGATGTAAACTTTCAAAATGCCCAAAACCTGCTGGAATTTCCCCGTAATTACTTTTTCGATTGCACAGTGTTATATTGGTAACAATTCTGTTGGAGGAATTGTGTCACTTGCATCAATTTCGGAAGTGTTTTTAATAAAAATGCATTGAGATGCATTCTAAAGTTGAAGTTGATGATTCGTTTCAGATATTTTAGTAAACACTGCATTTATTTCGAAACAACAAATTTGAAAATATTTCAGTGAGTGTCTGATCTGATTGTTTTTTATTCCAATTATAAGTGTACTAAATGTACTAAAAGGTACTACAAATATAATCCATTGTATAAGGCAACCGAGTTCAGTTAAAATTCTGAAATTTGTGAGCAGAAAGGGCTAAAAGTCTGACATTTGCAATAGGATTTTTTTCTGAAAAATGGGACTGATATAAGGAGTTGATATTGGAAATGTGTACGAATGTAAGGACAGTACTAAAGATGCTAAATTTGGTACAATCAGGTTTGAGCTAGAAATTTGAAATGTTGGTATTTTATTTACTGCTGGTTGGTAGGACTGAAATAAAGAGTTAGTTTTGGAAATGCGTAGAGCAAGAATATATATAAAGTACCAAAATGGAAATAAACGTAGAAATCGAACTGAACTTATGAATTACATTACAAGGGTCATTCTTTAATTCTCTACATTGAAATATGCCGCTTGCATTATTGAGCACGCCAAATTTCTGTCCCGCCCAACACACTTTTCATAATCTCGAGTATTCTTCCAAGATGTAAAGTATTTTCCCACCGTAGTCATGTATAGGACGGAACAAACAACTAGTTATTTTTATTTGCTGCAAATAAATGTCAAACTCTTTTTCAACAGCCCACGAAATACCTTCCTGCTCGGCGAACCATTGTTTACTTGTCTCGGAAACACAATTGGCAACTGTATCAACACATTTTTTATTGTTATTTTCATTAAGCATTTCCTTCTCCCTTGTATATCCTGAGCTTGTGGTCCCATTTCGGGCGATCGTTGTACTTAAGCTTCATTACTACTTGCGTTGGCTCGGAACGACCGTCTGTTGTGATTATTTTTGTTGTTGTTTGTGTTTTTATTGTGTCGAAAATTTTGCTTTTCCTCCAAAGTGTGTCTTTACGGTTTAACTTTTCTAAGGCCAAATTGTTGCTGCTTTTGTTATTCTTGGCCCACATAAAATTCGTAGCGCGTCGATTCATTGCTGCAGATGGTTGGATGGATGATAGGGCATCGACATCGATGCTGCTTGGGTCTGGCTCAGTGGTGATGGGTAATTTGCAAAGAAAACAATTTTAATGGAAATTAAATTCAATTATTCGGAATATTATTAAAATGCTCAATGCTTTGACAATTTACATAAATACTTACATATATTTGCAATTATTTTTCCTTGCAACAAATCTAGAAACGACTTTAATAGCATTTGTAATTGTTCTCATTGAGGGGTTAAATTAAATTATTTCGTTTCCTTCTCCTTCATCGTCGTCTTCGACTTATGAATACAATGAGATTTGTGCATGAAAATGTAGCATTTCGTTTTCCATGCATAAATTAGAAAATCTTTTTAAATGTCAATTAAAAAGTAACTTGTCAAAATCAAGCATCGATTACTTGTCATTGACATAAAACAAAGGAATGGTCTTTTCGAGAAGCCCTGACAACATATCGCGGAGGAGGGGTAATTGTAATATGATTTTATTTTTTTTTTTATTTATGCCTTCCTACGTAAATTGTGTTTCACAGTTGAAAGAGTTCTAGGAATGATTTCATACATATTAATGGTAGATTTCTTGTAGGTACGTTTTGTATCCTTGATTGTTTCTTCTGTACTCCAAGCACCGCTGACATTTTTACAATACAAAAATTTAGAAAGAGTCAAACGGTCGTATTACATTATGTTTAATTGTATATTTGGGATTTGCGCAAATTTAATTAGAACACGTAAAAAACTTTAAGTTCGGCCGGGCCAAACTTTTAAGACCCTCCACCTTAGGGTAAAGGAAACATTAGAGCCCATAATGACCCACATATACCAACTTTTAGACAAATGCATGGGAAAATATGCCAAAAAAAAAATCATCCAAATACCGAATATGGTATTTGTTGGCTATACAAAAACGTGGATCTATACATGCAGTGTTTCGCCCAAAAGAGCTAGAACCCATTAAGACCAACAAATACCAATTTCTAGACAAATCCGTGAAAGAATGTGGCAAAAATCATCAAAATACCGAATATCGGAAGGTACCGTTATATGGGGGCTATACCAAATCGTGTACCTATACATGCAATGTTTCGCCAAAGAAGCTAGAACCCATCATGATCTGCAACTACCAATTTTCAGAGAAATTCGTGAACAAAATGCGTCAAAAATTATGAAAATACCGAATATCGGGAGGTACCGTTATATGGGGGCTATACCACATCGTGGAACCATACATGCAATGTTTCGCCACCGGAGCTGGAATCAATTGCGACCAACAATTTTTAACAAATCTGAGAAAAAATGTGGCAAAAATAATCAAAATACGGAATATCGGGAGGTACCGTTATATGGGGACTATACCAAAACGTGGACCGATATATCTCATATTCAATACCAACCATCCTAGACACAATACAAATTGCTATACTACATTTTGGCGCTCTACGTCAAATAATGTGGGCTGTATCGTGATTTCAACAGACAGATGGACAGACAGACGGACATCGTTAAATCGACTTAGAATTTTATGCTGATTATGAATATATATATTTTATAGGGTCTACGACGAATATTTAAGGATATTACAAACGGAATGACAAAGTTAATTTACCCTCCTTTCCAAGGTGGAGGATATAAAAATCTTATAAATGAGCGATTTATATCTTTAATACACCCTCCAGAATATTTTCGTAATTATATTCGGCATTTATTCTAATGCCACGATCGACTAATACGAGCGAAGACCGACCATCGGCTGTTGTGGCGGCCCACACCATCACCATGGCCGGCGTTTGAGTTCTGATCGCCAACCGAAGGTGAACATTTTCAGCTGTCCTCTTTGGCAAGTAAACACGATCATTTTGTTTGTTTACAAACTGCTGGACAACGAATGTTTTTTCATCGAACAATGCGAAATTCGGCAGTTCACCACTTTCGGCCAAGCGAAGCAACTCTTTAGCTTTTGAGTCTATTTTCTTTTTGTTGTGGTGTAAGTTCTTGCACTTTTTGGAATTTCAAAGGTTTTACCCCGAGCTCATTTTTCAATATAATTAGCGAAAGGAATATTGTGATATGTTCAGCTCACGAGCCATTTTTCGGCCACTTCGACGCGGGTTTCGATCAAGTCGCTTCTTTACTTTTGGAACCACTTCTACTGATGTTGCTGTTTTTCTCCGTCCAATTCTTTGACGTCGGGCTACGCTACCAGTATCACGGTAACGAGCGATGGTACGAGACACAAAAAATTTATTATCATTTAAATGGTGGAGTGCTCTAACAATAGCCACTTGTGGTTTTCCAGCCAAATATAAAGAAATCACACTATCACGCTTGAATTCAATCACGAATAATTTATTTTTTCTGGAAAATTCTCACCAAAATGCTTTTGTATGCTTGTAATGCAACATAATGAATTGTCACTGGTTTAGAAATGACAGCGGTCTGAATTTTGTTGCAGATTTTTCATCTTAATCTGAAATGTTTCGAATGGATGAAAATTATCAAAATTAATTACGGATAGTAATTAGTATTTCGAATAATTGATGGTTAATTAAGTCCTTTAGTATAAGGATCTTCAAGTCTTACATTTGCATTTTCACAAGGCTCGACTCGAATATAACCTATATATAGGTAACATATAACCATAAAGCGACCCGTATGCCACATTAAATTTTCTAAATAACACAACCAAACCTATCAAACTTAAGGGTACATAAGTAGCTTGTCAACATAGCTAGACATATTAATATCAAATATAAGGGGAAACGACGGCAGAATTCGACTGCGACCCTTTATGATAATTCACAAAATGTGTCATGCGAAGACTTCTAGCTTCTTATGCACCCACACCTTTACTTCTGAAGAGTTATGGTAGATGATTTTGTAATTTAAGGTCGTGGCAATTAGCAGAACAAACATGGCCAAATATGTGCTACAACTTTTTACAGTACTACCTTTCTGCAATTACAGCTAAAAATAACATAATTTTCAAAATTTCTCTTCAATATAATCAGGAAGAACAAATACTTTAAAATACCTTATTTATTAAAATAAATACAAAACTAAAATATCAGTAAACTTTTTCGTTTAACAAACCCAATTCTACAAACTTTAAACATTTATCAGCAGTTAAAAATACTCAAGAAACAAAAACGTAAAATGTGAACCACCATTTAAAGTTCAATAGAGAACTTTGTTGATGTTAAGCAAAAGAAATTGTGTTAAGTACCGCCCAACATTCAACGCTACCTCGAGTGACGAAAGGAACTACATCACTAATTCTGCAGCAGACATTGGACATCATCGAGGAATGCGAGCGAGCGAACGGCAAGCGCCAGCAAAGGAGTGTTCTGGAGGATTGTAATCAGGAAGCGGAAACAGTGTATTCCTTGTGTTCAGTTTCCATCGTGTTTTTCTCCTCCATCTGTGCCATGACGTCTTTTAACTGCTTCTGTTGTTGGTTACCTCTTTTAATCTCTCCGCACTTAAATACAGTGCGAACGGAAAAAGTTGATAAAATCTTAACGAGCTGTTTTTGCAGAAAAAGGTTCTCAGGTTGGGAAACAAAGGACTACAGCTGCACTATTCTTGTTCGCATTTAAATGGAAATGTAGAAAGTGTTTTTTTTTTTCATTCTTCTGCAGTGGTGTTTTTTTAGTTATGTTCAAGAATGTAATTTCTCCTGACAGTATCTCAGCAGGACAAATGCGCAATTGTCCAATATTAAAGAAGAAGAAAGAACTATTTATTTCTTTAAAATGTTGTATTAACTATATATTTTAGTTCAATTGAAATTAAATTTATAGTTCCGTTAGTTTAAATTGCTGTTTAGCAATTTTTTAATTTTTCCGCCATTTAAAAAAGGGCATCATCCGTTCTTAATTACCTTAACACTCTTAGACGATTTACACATGTCCGTCTTATTATATGACCTTCTGTCTGTTTGTCTTGTCTACGGATCGGCCTCGATGGGATCAAATCTGGCTCATGATCACATTATGTCCGTATTGGAAATGGAATTTTAAAAACGATATGAATGTTCAACCCAATTTAAAGATTTTTAAAGGTTTGGCCATATCTTCTAATGAAATGAAGTATGTTTTGGAATTTTAGGTTACAATATAGAAAGTCAATTCAGTTAAAACAAGTAAAAGAGCAGTAAGTTCGGCCGGGCCGAACTTTGAATACCCTCCTTTTAAATCTCAAAAATACCGAGTATAGGTGTTCACCGTTATATTGGGGTCAATACGAATCTGTGGACCTGCATAGGCAACTTTTGTCATAGGTCATAACAATATTCGAATACGAAACTTAAACAAATCCGGCGAATATATAGCTAAAATTATCAAAATACCGAATATAGGGAGGGACTATAAAAACCTGGACCTGTATAGACACTTTTCTGTCGCAGGCTGTAGTACCCATTACGAACTCTAAATACGAATTTTAAAACCATTTCGGTGAATAATGTCCCTAAAATCATCAAAATAGCGAATATCTGGAGGTACCGTTGTATGGGGGGCTATACGCGTATGATAACGTGTACCTAAATAGACAATTCTATTCCAAGGGGTAAAGTACTTAGAAAGAACTCTTTTCGTGGATTTTCAAAATACCGAATATAGGGAGGTATCGTTGAATGCGAGATATACGATACATACTCTTCCAGGGGGTAAAGGACTCAGAAGGAACTCTTTTTGTAATTTACAGTCAATAGTGGATGTCGGGGTTAATCTATGGGGGGCTTATGATATCGTAGACCGATATAGCCCATCTTCGAACTTGACCTGTTTGCAGGCAAAAGACTGGTGTGTGCAAAATCTTAGCTTATCTTAATTCGTTTTGTCTCTAGCGTGATTACAACAGACTGATAGACGGACGGACAAGGATAACTCGTCTTAGGATTTTATACCGATCAAGAATATTTCTACTTTGTTAGGTCCAAAATTATTATAACGATGAGTTACAAACGGAATGGCGAACTTAATATAACCTCCATACTATGTATGGTGGAGAGTATACAAATCGAAATTGATCCATCGATTTAACGGTGCCGCATGATTTCAATAACTCCAAAGAAAGGGTTTGCATTAGCTATGATGTAATATTCAAATCCGTAGAAATATATTTAAATGGGTACCCGAATTCCAGTATTTTAAAAAACTTAGACTAAATTTTCCAAAAAAAAAATAACCATAATTTGTACAGGGTGAGATAAAAAAAGTGCAACAAAGTCAAACGCCATCATTTTTACATTTTTTTTTAATTATATTGAACGAAAGCACAAAAAGTTGGAAATAGCATCACATTTTAGAAAATGTTTAGATTTGTTCGAATTGGTCACCTTTGGCACGAATTATGGCC